TTGTCGGTTTCTTGTTTGTATTTGCAGCCAACGACGACCAGAGGCGCGCGTGGTATCGGGACGGCCAGCATGTGCCCGTGAAGAAGTCACAAGGCCAGGGGATCATGGTGTCGGGGACGATAATCCACAACGTTGGCTTCTTCTCGGCGTCGCGGGCACAGATCCAGGACGCGGAGCGCAACCGCAGGAAACGATGCGCCGCCTCAGCTGCCGCGAAGCGACGGGGGGAAAACGTGAAGGTGGAGAAGTTCCGCCCCATCGACATGCTTCATGAAGACAGGCATGGATAGTACTGATCCTACCACCTCTTCGAGTACGGCAAGAACAAGGAGGGATACTGGACCGGGCTCAGGATGCTGGACCACATGTCAGACGTGCTCGACATGTTCACAGTTCTCTACCCTGAGCACAAGCCTGTAGGCCTGTTCGACTGGTCGTCCTGTCATGACTGCATGGAGGTCGGCGCACCGTCGGTGAAGAGAATGAACTTGGGTGTCGGTGGTGTGAGGAACGGAGAAGAGCTTGCGCCGATGGACCCCGTGACCATCCTCGAAGATACCCCGAACCTCCCAGCCGGCACGGTACAGCACTTGGTGTTTCGGAGGGGGGACGATCCCCCCTTCCACTCCCCGCATCTCAAGCCGGCGCAATATGTCGGAAAGTTGAAAGGAATGCGGCAGATTTTGTGGGAGAGGGGGCTCCTGGTCAAAGGCATGAGTAAGACGGGGGGCTCGGGCGAAAAGCAGGACCTCAGCAAGAGCATGGAGCACGTTTTGGGAGAGCAGAAGGACTTCAAGGAAGTTGATTCTAGTCTGGTGCTGTTGATGAAGCGCCACGGGGGGGCCTGTCTCATGCTTCCTAAGTACCACTGCGAGTTGTTGTTGTTGTTGTTGTTTCTCACATTAGCTCTAAAACGAGTGTAACCCCATCGAGCTTGTTTGGGGCCGAGCGAAGGACTGGACTCGAAAGAACTGCAAATATTCGTTGGAATGCTTGCGCAAGAACGTGCCGCTGAGTTTTAGACCAGAGAAGGATAGACAGGCTGTTTCGGTAGTCCAGGGCTACTGCAAGAAGGCGTACACACACGCCCTCATGTACCGCGAGACGCGTGTGCAAGGGCCTGAGGGCAAGAAGACGTACAAGAAGTACAAGTCGCACAGGCGCCCGACCCCGAAGGAATGGAGGCCGTAGAGTCGATGGCGCATTCTTGTTCATTGAGCTGTATTTGTTCAGTTTTTTTCCGTGTTTCTAGTGGGAATGTTGTACAAAAATGGAACATTTTTGTTGAAAACGGCCAATTTTTGTGATGTATGTACGCTATAGGTGCGGTAGAGGCATTTGCATAGTGTTTGAGGGCGTTCCTGTGCACGTGTGGGTGGTTTGGTGCGAAAAAAAAAAAGGATTAGCAACATAAATATGGGGGAAAAGTTGCTCTAGGGCCAATTTCGTGGGTTCGAGACCCGCCGCGAGCATCTTTTTCCTTTTTTTTCTCGTTTTTTCCTTTTTTTTTTGGCGACTCGCTAGACTACTCTCTTGCGCCTTGCCGCGGGCGTTCCGAAGCTGTTTTTCTTTTTCTTTTACTCGCTCTCAGTCAAAAGTTATGGACAACCAAAATCGGGTCCTTGGAAATTACCACTTTAGTGTCGATATTTTTCACTGCAGTGCCTAACACAGACGATCGGGAGAGATTCGGGTGATTGTCAAATGCTGCTATGATGGCTTTGGTTGGTTGTTCTTTTTCACTGTACGGCCGCAGACACATTCTGACAGCACTTCAGACAGCAGCTTTGTGCCCCGCCAGCTGCTTGTTCCATGCCTACCATGGTGTTTTTGTACAGACAGCACTTCAGACAGCAGTATGCTGTAGTCGGCAATCTTCCGTTTTGGTATAGAGTGGGACAGGGAGGGGGTGATGCTACTGCTGTAGTCGAACGGTGGGACGGACGTGCAGTTCAGTTTTTGGGCACGCATACGGTGCTGCAGGGATTTTTAGGTGTACCTCTTCGGGCTCTTGGATACCTTTTCCTCGTTATATATGTGCGTGTTCTTTAGATCCTCAGATGGCTCTAGCACTTTCCTGACCACGGGCTGAGAGTCTTCGCTAGACTTTGGCATTTAGCAACTGACATACGGTTTAATGTGAAGACAACAACAACTGCTGATTATGGGGCTCAGTGGAATCGAGCGTCACTGCTGGCTCTATTTCCATCCTCCCGAATTCGCCAACAATAATATAACAATCATCTGCGTTTGTGTGCCCTCGCACTGGCCAACCGCAAAGACTGCATACTCTGCACACACGCAACCATTTCCTCGGATCAGGTGTCGCAAGATGGGTAGGTTCGCCGCTGCGGTTCTCGGGGCCTCTGGTCAAGTTGGGGGCTGCGTCGTGGCTTCGCTCCTCGCGGAACCGATGTGCACCGGAATTGTCCTCTTCAACCGGCGCAAACTCGACAAGTACGAAGGCGAGCCTAGAGTCACACAGCACGTCGTCGAGATGGACAGCAACATCGCCACGGCTGCAGTGTGAGTCGCCCCGTGGTATCTGTTGAGCAAGGCGTTGACCACGCACGTGGCGCACAAAGTAGGTTGCTTTTACTTCTCCTTTGTATGGCCTTTTCGGCCGACAACCATTTTGTGCTGTTCCGTTTTTCGCCCGGCACGTGGAAGACCCCTCCAATGATGTGGAACAATTCCTAGTCAGTATCGATTATTTACACTGCTGCTGTGTCCAACACAGACAGATGATCGTGGGCGGATTCGGTGATTGTCAATTGCAATGATGGCTTTGGTTGGTTGTTCTTTTTCACTGTATGTCCACGGACGCATTCTGACAGCACTTCAAGACAGCAGTTGCGCGCCCCGAACTTGTACCATGCCCACCATGGTGTTATCGTACAGGCAACACTCCAGACTGCTGTACGCTGTTGTCGACAAACATTCATTTTGGTTAAGTGTGGGACAGGGGGGATGATGCTGCTGCAGTCGAATGTAGTGTGTGGACGGGAAGTTCAGTTTGTGGGCACGCAAACGTGCTGCAGGGATGTAGGTGTACCTTTACGGGCTTTTGTACAGTCGACCCCGCTTTAAGGACGCTCGCGTTAACCCCTTTGGAACGCAACTAAAAATCAGGGCTGCAAATATATCGCGAAAAAAAATAAAAAAATGAAGAAAAAATCGCTCTCTCTTTGGGCGATGGACAGTCCTTGGACTGTGTACAAGGGAGAGAACAGCGCCCGCCGGGGCCGTCTCAACTCTAAAAGCCCTATCAAATGTCCCCTCAAATCGCGGGGACATTTGATAGGGCTTTTAGAGAACAACTGGCGCAAGCGTGGTAAACGGACCACGAAAAGGAGACTTCAAAGATATTCCTCTAGAGGGAACACGACGCCTTCAAACCAAAGCCCTACGTTGCACGGAGCCTCCTTTCATCGGTGGGCAAGGTGCTTCTTCGAGTTGGGCCCTGGTAGCGCATTCTGGCCAAGCGCCGATCGACCCGGCGCAACTTCGCTGTTGAACCTGCTGGGCTGCAGCGAGCACCTGCCGCACATCGTCACATCGCGCCGATATCCTCTTCCGCTTCCACTCCTCCCGTCCAACGCCACACTACGATAGCCCATGGCAGCCAACGCATACCCTGGCACTCCCGTCGTCGAGGAGTTCAAGGGTGGAGACAGCCATGCCATCCTTGTCCAGGTCAAGGCGGCATACGAGCATGATGTCGCACGCGTCCAAGATTTTGTCTTCGATGATGCCGTTGCTGTCGGAACGGCGTCATGTAGTCATGACGACCGCCAGGAACCTTAGCAACAGGATTGACGCGCGATCAGCGCGCCCAAGCCGCCAAGTAGCACCCCGGAGTCTGTGGAGTCTACCATGCGGCGGCGATCGCTGGCGTCAGCTACGCGGATGTGGCCGCTACTGCAAAGAGGCGTGGTGTTGGCGTCACGTTCAATGTCTTCCGCAATCAGGTATGCATAGCAGCAAACGCGGATACGGGCATCACTGTTGATGCATAGGGCACGATACTGCTGTGCGTCTCCTAGTCCATACTGGTAGGGGTCAGGTTTGGGTTGTAAAGTGTAGACGGCCCTCGGTGCCCGTGGACGTGCCCAAATGTGGATGCGTTTACCATTGAGCGAAGCCCTGTAGCAGTGACATTACGGACATACAACATGCACGTACCTCTGCTTGCCTCGAAACGCAAACCACTCATCACTAGACCACTGCTGTTTGCATAATTATTCTTTCGTATAATCGAACAATTAGTCGCCGCGAACTGAGTGAGGGTTCGGGAGCAGAATGCAAGCACGCATCCGTACAAAGGCCACACGTCTTTCACACATCATGAGTAAACCATGCTATGCCCAAGAAAAACCTTTGATTGCCGTGAAAAAGCGGCTGCTGTGTATTTTCTTGGAGGCGCCATTCTGGCCTTTTTCTTGTGACAATACGACTTTGCCATGTTTTGCGGCAGGCGGAATGGTGCGCACTAACTTCTGTCGCATCCCCCTTCCTCGTAACCACTTATGTTTTTAGTGTCGCTTCGATGCAGCAAAGAAGCTTGGTGCGGCTGGGATGGGCGTCCAACTCGCTCGCAAGGAGTGCTTTACACAAGCATGCAGGGCTGTTTATCCCGGGAATGGTACGCCGGAGCCATGGGTGGAAACAGCATTCAGCTCTGAAAATGCGTAGTGGTCGATACTTTCAGGCGCGAAAGGGGTGGTGCCTAACGTGCATAAAAAAAGAATGTGTAGCAGAATAAGTGTGTGCAGTTGGATTAGAGATGCACCGGATAGGCATGCCTCGCTTTTTGTCCCGCGCAGCTGGGAGTGGGGAGTGGGGGTGTCTACTCTCCTGGCGTTGCATAAGATTTTGGGAGAGGGCAATGTTCTAGAGAGAGCAACTGGTGCAGCCGTGGTTCTTATCCGTGAGCAAACGCCCTAAACGTGGTATGTATGATGGCATAATTGGGTGGCGCGTTTGAAAGAATGCTGATAGGGTCTAGCGAATGCAGATGTCAACAAGAGAGAGCGGCCGAGGTTTGCTGTAGTGGACCGTTTGGTGGCCGTTAAGAGAACAGCAGGGCACAACCGAGTGCTCAACAAACGTGGTTCGATCTTTACGCAATAAATAGCCCAGCAAAAAATGTTTAATGTATCGTTTGTGTTAATGAAGCCTATGTAGACAACCTGCCTGTGCGTGCCCCAACGAATTTGACCGATGTAGGGGGAGCTGAATGCCTGAGGTCGGGCCAAGAGTTTTCAGTACTATATGAAGCAGCTAACAGCAAGCTTCGCCCTCCCCCCGAAACACAAATTTGTGACTGTTCGTGTTTGATAGAACCGCGATGGTTCTTGTCTGCGAAGCTTGTTTCATGACCGCCCGGAGGGCGTGAACGTTTTTTCAATGTCAGCCGACTATCGGCCGCGCCCATGAGAGCATTCGTGCGACTTCAGCAAATCCAATCCATCACATGGTCCATGCAGGCCCCGAGAAATCGAAAATGGTGAGGCCGCCGTACAAAACTAGGTTGTTGGCGTGGGTGCAGCCGTACGCAGGCCGCCATGATTGTGATGCTTTGTTCGAAGCACCTCACAGTTCATCTTTGGGTCGAACCCCATGAAACAGGAGTATTACTTTTACGGCGGCCGAGCACAAGCTGCACTTGAATGACAGGTGATGTCCAAGAGCGAAGAAACCCGGCATATTTTTTTGTTGTAAATCCATGTATAGAGACACGTCCCCCCGCCCCCGTGCCCATGCAGACAAAGGCGAACACCGGTAGTCAAGATGCCAAACGTCATTGGAAGCCTACATGCATTTCTATCTCAGCTATAGCTGATGTGCAACAGCGAAATCGCGTACCTTCGGGAGCGCAAGTTTTTTTTCTGTCCAAAAACCCCAACTCCAGCTGCTCCCATGCGCTCGCGAAAAAACACAAAAACACCCTAAGGTATGCTCCTCGCGTTCACCACTTGATTTATTTCTTGCACCTCTTTGGACACAAGGATGTCCCAACAAGATTTTGTTTTTCGGGACACCGCCCTTCCGCCCCCCCCGATCCCGTGCCCACGCGAAAAAAACACCCGTAGTAGGCAAGACGCGTAATACAAGGAATTATATCCTCTCCTTCACCATTTGAATTCTTTCTTTTCTCTGTTGGACTTCTGAGTTGCCGAGAACGTCGAGGCGTGCTTCGCCTTATCGCTGAAGCACTGACGACAAATTACAACGCCACCCAACTTCTCACACTGAGTGCACCGGCAGACAGTTTCAACTTTCCTCCCACGAGGCTTACTCTTCCGCTCAGGGTTGGTTGGGGTACGACCGTCACACATTCTCGACATGCAACAGGAGCATTGTGTTCCCCTCAGAGTTTGAAAGTTGCCACCCCCCGACTTAATCCTGAATGTCGCCACTGGAAGGGTGCTTTTACGCCCCCGACCCCCCCATTCGGCGTTGCCAATGTTGCACGAAGACATGAGAAAGCAGCTAAGGTCCCTCATCCAAACTGATCTTGACTGCTTTTCTATGGTGGCCAAACGCTCGCCCTCCTCTCGCAGCCCCTTGAGAAGCCGCCCATCGGCAGATTCTTCGCCTTCGAACAACCCCCTTTCCTCCAATTGCTCGATCGCCTCCTTCACCCGACTCTGCATGTGTCTCAACCACCAGCGAAACATCAATCACGCGTTCGTACAGGCCTGCATCAACTTCTGCTCAAAAAGACGTCGCCAAAAACAATTTTTAGCACGGTGTTGTGTCTGGTACGCACGGTTGTGCTGGTCCGAGATATCTACTCCCCCCATGAACTTGAAGTGGAATCTACACCAAGGCTGGAAGCCGTCGGCCTTCTTCGACTGTCCCGGCACGTGCTTGCTGTCGGTGTGGACGAAGACAGCGAGAGCGCACGGGGCCGAATGGATGGAGTTCTGTGTCAGCATGATCGGGGTATGAACCTCAGCAGCGTCTAGACACGTACACACCCGTATAACCAACCCCTGGACACATGTCGTGCCAAGAATATCAGAACCATACGCATGTCATGAACACGGCGCCCACCTGTACTCCTTCGGTAGAAAGTGCTTTGGGCTGAAGTGGATTGTGGACAAAAAAATGACGAGCTTGGAATGCTTCCACTGCACGAACACCAAGGACCCGAACCTCGCGAACACCATCTCGCTCTTCTTCCTGACATACTGTCTCGTGGTAGACCAGTACTGGATGGCCTCTTTCGATCCGCGGTGTGTATCCCTCAGAGTTCCGACGGCAAAAATCCCGTGCCACAACAGACACATGAAGAGGATGGGCGAGGTGAAACAATTGTCGCAGGCCATGTAGGTCCCTGACCTAAACAACTGCGCCCCAAGTGCCGGGCACGCGTGGAACAGGACAAAAATCACATTCGGCATTCTCGCCTCAAGGGACACATGCGAATACTCGAATCTCCGGTGTAGCCGCCGTCCGTGTATCCCGTGAAACAGTACCCGCTCCAGCAACATACCCCCCAAATCTTCACCCTTGGAAAAAATGTGGTAGGCATAAGTCGGCGGGGGTGGTAGCGGGGGTGGTAAGCTAAGTCGACTGGTTCGAAAGCACCTGACGTGCCATAATAGTCAAGAGTCACACGCAACTTTGGAAAGTAGCATGCCATTTCATCACTAACACGGATAACAAATATTTCCTTCCATGGACGAATGGAAGACAACCACGGAAAAATTGATCGATTTGGGTTGGGGGGGGGGGCTATGGACGGGGCTTGGGCATGGCACAACGTGTCTCGGCCCTACACGGTACACGCTGTTTGTACACAGTGCATGCTGCCCGTGAGCTGCACTCACCATTCTTGATGGGTTTTTTTCGGCATATGCCTCAGCATGAACTTTGCGGAACGGCTGACACACTTGACCATCTGCTCATCGAAGGAGATCCATCGACCCACCAGAGCGGCTTCACTCCACGCCAAGTTCAACATGGACTCCACCTCACTACCAGTAGACAACGAGACGAAGGCGCGGCAGGAGTCGGGGAGCGACCATGGGTGTGACCGGGGTGGGGGTAGGGGTGGGAGTAGGTGGCGTTGGTGCCTCCTGCATTCGACGTTTGAAATGCCTATCGTATGGCGTACGGTGTTTTACCCCGTACACGCGGCAAGAGTTGAAGACGGGGGGTTATATTATTTGTGCAGTATAGCTCCCGGCTGGGGGGAAAACAGTTTTTTCATGGCAGCGAGTTCCACGTTCACCTTCATGCTCTTAGTGTAGTGTTGACTTGGAAGCGGCAATTCCTATTTTGGGCCTGTCTGCCAGACGTTGTGTGGGTATCCGTGTGTGTGTGTGTGGGGGGGGGGGGGAAC